CAAGTCTTAAAGCTGTCAAGTTACAAGACCCTTGTACCCCTAACCCTTTAGAACAAAACCCCAGGAGTGTTCAAACTTGACAGCTTTAAGACTTTAAGGCTTAGATAGGACTCTTAGAGGTGAGTGGGGCATTTGGTGAGCCAGCCAATCAGTGAGTGGTGGGCAGGGCAAGCATGGTGCGGATGGCTGGGGGGAGGAAGTTGGAACCAATTCTAAATGGCACGGTAGATTTGTGGAACCTCTTCTATAGAAGAGGTTAGAACTGGCAGGAATCCACCCCTGGCCGAACTGAACCGAATAGGTAGGAACCCACCTCTGCTCTCGTCCCAGTGTCCGACCCAGATTGGATCCTGCAATATTATCTTGGGACATGTTTATTCGCCTTCATTCGTGTTAATATGTTGAGATATTTTTTTTAAATTCCTGGATGGCTTCCAGCAAAAGTTAGTACAGTACAGACTAATCAGCAAATAAAAATGGTGATGGTTTATTTAATGCTTTCAAACTTACTGTACCTCCCAGTGAGGAGGAACAAACTCATTGTACCTTCTAGTGAGAAGGAACAAAAGAAGCAGGAATTCAAGAAGAAGGGGGAGAGGCAGTTTATTACCTGAGGTAGCTGGCAGTAAGAGAAGACAGAATGACAAATTGTTCTGTTGTTCAAATGGAATAAAGAAGAGAAATGAAACAGAAATAAGGAAAAAATGCAGCGGGGGAAGAGGAGCTCAGAAGAGAAATAAGAATTAAAGATGGCTGGGTCATTAACCTGGTAAGTTAATAAATCAATGTCTTATAAATTTTCCACGTACAGCTATAATTCTAAAGCATTATAATGTATTGGGGGGGTTTAATATACATCTAAAGAAGAAAATATGTGGCAAAAAGACCACCCTGCAAATTAGAAACACAATTTCAATAAATGTTCCTGCATGAAGAGATAAAATATCCAAAGGCTAATAAGCGAATGCCTCTTTTGAAGAATGAGACATGAGAATCAGGGCAGATTCTGAGATTAAGGGTCCACTGGAATTTCAAATTACAGTAGGGAGTGATCAGAAGGAACTTGGAGATGTGGTGTAGGGTTTTCTGCATAGGCAGGACTAGAGGACCTCCAAGATCCCTTCCAACTCTGTTATTCTGTTATTATTCTGTTAGACAAAGAAATCCTCATGTGATACTATTCTACCTGCTTCCAAACCACCATTTTCATATAAATAATAGCAACAATTAGCATCAGTAAATAGGTCCCTTCATAGATCTAGTAAGATGGTATTCCGCAGGGGTGGGCTGCTGCCAGCGTTACTGCTGGTTCGCAACCCGCATGTGCTGTGTGCGTGCTGTGCATGCATGTGCAGAACAATGTACAGTAAACTGCGCATGTGCAGTCACTAAAATCCAAAATGGCGGAGGCCAAGCGGCAGCGAGGGAACCAGTTTGTGGGTGTGGCAGGCCTGGGCCGCTGCCAGTTCTGCAACCCAGGCCTGAATTCCACTACCGGTTGGGCTTGGTTTGGCAGCAACCCACCTCTCGTACTCCGTCCATAAGCCATTATAACAATATCCTCTGCTGTTCCCACTGATGGCATTTGATGCTTTCTGTAGGGTTTATAAGTTTTTGGGAGTTAGTGTAGTCTGAAGACCAAGTCCAGGTGAGATATAAAAGATTGGTTGTGCTTTGTTTTCTTTTTGAATAATGTTGTTAATTATATTAAACAGATAAAACAGATACCAAAATACATTAAAAATGTAGAAGCTGCAGAAACCCACCCAATTCCCACCCAAAAGAGGGGAAATAAGAAAAAGAAACTTCCCTTTCATCCCCAACAAGTACATTCGGCTTTAAAAATTTATCTCTGCCTTTTAAAACCAAGGAAAGATTCAATCAGGAAATAAGGAGACATGTTCTGGCAGTGAGAACAATCAACCAATGGAAAAGCTTGCCTTCGGAAGTTGTGGGAGCTACATCACTGGAGGCTTTCAAAAAAAGACTGGACTGCCATCTGTCAGAAATGGTGTAGGGTTTCCTGCATGGGCAAGGGGTTGGACTAGAAGACCTATAAGGTCCCTTCCAACTCTGTTAATCTGTTAATCTGTTACACCAAATATTTGTTTATTCCATACCTCACCCCATTTTCTATAAAATCATCTCTAGATCCTCAGCTCACCATATTAAACAGCAAAATCCAATAAAAGTTAACACAAGTTAACAAAAAAAAATATTCCCATTTCTATTTAAAGCCTAATCCCTCTAATTTGCCTCATAATAATAAACAAAACATGGCTGTACTTTTGGGTGCTTTTTTAGAAGGTACTTGTTATAGGGTAGGCTCATTTCTGAGTAAGGAAATGGCCCTTCACTCACACTGATGTATCGCCTTCATTTTACCATTTTCCAGGTTTTTACAGAGTATTCAACCAAGGATAGACAAAAGCAACAATTCCTAGGAAGAAAGAGATGCCGATGGTTGGAAGATTTCAATAATCAGTTTTGAGGAATATACTACTGTACTCTGTTTACTCTTTTATGAATTAAGATAGCAGACAAATATTCCTTGGTCTGTCATAATTTCTTAGCTGTTTAGGTATGCAGCAATATTTACAAGCTTTACCTGCTATACCAGCCCTGCTTTGTTCTGGGACAGAGATCAGCAACCTTAAACGCTCAAAGAGCCACAAAGGGTCCTAACTGGAATCCCCCCATATAGAGTCTCCTCCTAGTGCGGCGTCCTTTTTCCTCTGCTGACCGAAAGTCCGGTTGCCCCACCACAGAGTCTCCTCCTAGCATCCATTTTCCTCTACCTGTCTTAACCAAAAGCCCTATTAACTCTGGAGCTGACCGGCAACAGGTAGCCACAGCAGAGGGATGAAAGAGTCACATATGGCTCCAGAGTCATGGGTTGCCAACTCCTGTTCTAGGAAAAAAGAACTTGATACTATTATATATTCTCTGGTGTCATCTTGACATGTCTGCTCTAATGTGTTCCTCTTCTGACTATTACCCTATTGTCCAAAATTTCCAAAGGACTAGAATGTTTCAATTATTGTTTACTGTGGTTCCCATTTCACTGAGCTGTTTTTTTTTTCAAAAATACAAAAATAAAGCAAGACTTACCAAATGAAGGAGACTCTCGACCATCCTCTAATCCTGAATCTCTTTCTCTGTCTCTCTTTCTATGTTTGTGTCCACGGTGCCTATGGCGGCGATGGCTTTTCCTTCCACCCAATGGCACATGAACCCCGATAAACAAAGTCCTGTGACCTACACAACAGAATACAGTCCAAGTAAGTACATTTGATAACCCATTTAACACTAAGACATTAGGACAACTATAATGTTTATGCATTATATAGGGGTGAATGGAAGTCCTAAAAACGTGTGTTAAAATGGGGGGAAAGGGAAAAAAAGCTGAACAGATTTAAATGCATAACACACAAACTTCTGTGTCTGTGTGTGCATGCACAAACACACACACACACATGCACGGATGCACATATGGAGAGGTGTATAGTACCCAGTCTTTCCAATGCTAACTAGGAATTCTGGAATATTTAATTCTAATACATTAAACAGTAATAGTTTTAGTAATGCTGAAGCATAAAATTGCAGTTTTAGATGCTCTGGAAACGATCTTGAGATTATAATTATAATAAATTAAATAACATTGAATGATAAAACAGCTGAAGTAAAATTTAGAAAGTACGTAACTCAAGTAAGTCAGTAAGAAAGAACAAAGTTAGTAAGTTCAACGCTAGTTCCAATTTGGACACTTTCCCCACTTAATCATTTATTTGTATCATAAGATTTTAAACACTATGATAAAATGGGTAACAGCATATTTAGACAATCAAAATACAATACGAATAGAAATACAGAGTTGAGATATAAAGTTTACATTAGTATTTTTATACTGCTGTGCAAAATTGGATTTTAGAGTATTATTCCTGTTACAATAATTGGCAATGAAAATTACTATTATTTTTTATATATTTGAAATTTTCATTTAATTTGGCGTATTATAGCTATCATCTGTGTTTTGTTCAGAAAGAGAGAGGGGCGGAGGGAGGGAGGGGGGAGAGAGAGAGAGAGAGAGAGAAAGAAAGAAAGAAAGAAGGAAAGAAAGAAAGAAAGAAAGAAAGAAAGAAAGAAAGAAAGAAA